TGAGGGTAAAAAAAAGAAGGGGCCGTTTTCGTGGACGCTTGGGGTTTGACGGAAAGGTGGTCCATGTGTTCCCTTGGGGGGGGGGGTGCGCTTCAGTAGGACAGTGGCAACTCCTCTAATTTCTACTGTTATCTTGTGAGCTAGGAACTGCAGCACCGAGACCATCAGACAGTACCAAACCCCCATGCCAGCTTTTCTTATCTTAACCTTCCTTCTGTCAATTTAGAAACACTCAGAACTGGATAGCCTGGGTATTTTCAACTTAGTGTATTTTGAAACTTTCCTTCTCTTGCTGTTCCTACTGTGTCCCGGAAACATGCCTGCTCATTGCTTCCCCAGACCCAGATCCTCCTTCCTCCATGAGCTGGCTCCCTCTCTTGGGGCTCTGTCTTCTCTGCACCATATTGGAAGAACTGTCCACCCTGGAAGATGACCTGGAGATGTCTCCTTGAGGCTGCTGGGGGAGCTAAACAGCCAATTTGCTGCTCTTCTCCAAGTCAAGTTCAAAAGACTGGTGACCCTTAGCTTGCCACAGAACTAGATGTGACATTGCTGACCAGGGTGTAACAGCTCCTCCAGGGACAAGGACCTAACTAGGGACTGTAGCTTCATGGTAGTGTGCTTGCCTAGCATGCCAAGGCCCTGGGTCCCATCCCTGTCACTGAAAAAAGATGTTCAGGCGTCAAGAAATGCATATTGTCAGAAAACTGCTGGTGTTCCCTATGTGTGACTGTCTCTGTTGGATACATTTCTTTTCTAGGTGTGGAGTGAAGTTAACCAAGCTGTTCTAGATTATGAAAATCGTGAGTCCACACCCAAGCTTGCAAAATTACTGAAACTGCTACTTTGGGCTCAGAATGAACTGGACCAGAAGAAAGTAAAATATCCCAAAATGACAGACCTCAGCAAAGGTGTGATCGAGGAGCCCAAGTAGAGCCTGTGCACCGACACTACACTGTCACCAGGACTCACCTCCCCTCGGGCTGTGACTGGAAATGGTCGCTCCAGTAGAGAACTGTTTTCCTTTGTACTTTTCTTTGACCCCCCATCGTTTAAAAAGGGAAAATGGCCTTTTCAAATGCTGCCAAACCCATGGTGAAAGACACTGTCTCTGGAAGCCTGTGTGCTGTATCCTGGGGGCTGCACACTGCAGTTGACTATCTCCACTCTTGGTGATGCTGGCTCAGGAAGATCTGGCTTGCCACTGTGCACTGCTTTGCTAGGGAAGTAATTCATCTGAAGGCCTCGCACTTAGTACACCAAGAACACTGGTGGTCTGGCGCTGTCGGCTCGCAGGCAGGCAGTGTTTTCTTATTTTCTTAGGTCGCAGCAGGCCTTCATCTTCACGTTGCTCCTTACCCCCTTTCCTCCCTCCCTTTCATCCCTTCATAGGAAAAAATTATATAAATTTGTAAATCTTAATTCAGAGATGACGTGTGGGGGTATTGAGTTTGATTCGGTTTTGTTTTGTTTTCTGCCTTGGTTTAGGGTGTGTGTTGGGGGCGGGATGTGCGTGTGTATGAGGGCTGTGTTTTTTTAATTTTTTAAATATATATTTTGGTGCTGTATGTGATGAGAGACTTGTTCATACTGGATCAGTGAGCCACCTCTTGTAGGCAACTTTGAAAATAAAAGTTTCTCTTTGACTTTGAGAATGGCCAAAGTGGCTTTGAAGTTAGCATCTCACACAGCCCTTGTTTCCAGTGTTGTTCCCTGTCAGCACAGAAACAGCATCTGCACCTGTAACTAAGGACCATGTGCAGGGTCCATGTGCCCAGGGAATTCCTTGCATGACAACAAAACAGCCTGATACTGGTGTGGTCAGCTGGGTGGCCTCAGGCACACAGGATTCCTGGGAAGACTCAAGGCTGTTCATACTGGCAGTTGTGTGTTTGAGCTTGGCAGAGTAGCGTCTCATCTTTGCTTCGGTGTCAGTAGTCCTGTGGTGTCCTACTCTTCAGTAAGGTCTTTGTTGCTTGCTCAGTGGAAAGCAGGAAGGAGGTGGTCCATGAGGTAGGATGTGTGTGCTGTGTAGTAGGCTCTGTCCTGAGCGATGAGCACATACGGGTGTGGTGGGGTATCTTGGGTACTCGGCAGCAGTCCAGGCCAGAAAGGACCCTATTGGAGCAATGCTGAAGGCTGGTAGGGAAGAGAGGTGGTCACAGAACTATGGAATCCTCAACCGTGTCTGGATGGTGGAGACAGTATGAACACCGTCCTTTGGGGGAGTTCCTGTCTGTCTGATACTGGAGCAAGGGTGTACTGGGAGCAGTGTCCTTAGCAGCTTCGTTGGGATTGCTCACTTGCTCATGAGCAGTACAGTGCACAGCACACTGACCAGCTAGGTCAGGTGGGTTAGCTCAGCTTGCTGGGGCCTGAGCTACTCAGGTGTCAGGTAACTAATGTTCATGTCTGTTTTCTGGACTATTAGTATCTGTCTACTTTTCTCCTTCCTTAGACACTTCTTGATTGGAATGGCATGAGGAGTCTTCAAGCTCTCTGCTTCTGTAGAGGTGGGTTCTTTGTCAGTATCTGCTTTGGGGTCACATTAGTAATATGCGCAGGGATGAAGCTGTTGGTGTCTTTGTCACCCCCCACTGACCTTCCTGTCTGAGGAGGGAGTCTGGAGACCTTCCCTTACCTCCCTAGACTGGCTTTCAGCAATTGTCTGTAGATGTAGCTTCTTCAGTGTTCCTTCCTTAGGTCCAAGGATCAGAATTAGGATAGAGGGGGCTAGAGAGATAGCTCAGCGGTTAAGAGCACATGCTGAACAGTCTTGAGGACCAGAGTTCAGATCCCAGCACAGCACCCACGTAAGTGGGGCATCCCACAAATGCCTGTAACTCCAGCTTCAAGATACTTGATACCCTTTTGGCCTCTTCATGCACACAGGCTCGTGCCACTATACATAACTGCAGAAATGCATAACACACATATAAAATCTTAAAGAGAAAATGAGGTTGAGAGGAAAGGGCTTTTAATCCTCAGGTAGCAGATAGGTTAAATAGCAGAAATTGGAGAGAGGTATAAATAAAGCTATACTTTTTTTTTTTTCCTGGTCTTTTTGAGATGGTCTCCCAGGAGCCCCAGCTGGCCTGGAACTCACTGTGTAGACCAGGTTGGCCTCAAACTAGCAGAGATCCACCTGCTTCTGCCTCCCGAGTGCTGGGATTAAAGGCATGTGCTACCACACCAGATGCAGCCAGATACGGTGGTTCATGCCTGTCCCACCATCATAAGGCTGAGGGAGGATTGCTGTAAGTTCCAGACCAGGTTGGCTGTAGTATCAGATCCTTTCTTAAACAAAAAACCCACCAGGTAGCCAGCATATAATTATCTTTTGTTAATGTGTACAAGATCACTTATATAGCTAATTTGATGTGTTCTCACAGTTGGAGGGCTTGAGAGGTGTAGGAATAGAAATTCCTTCTGTGGGGGTTGTCAAGGTATTTACATCTTTCTTACCAGTCAGTAGCTCAGCCAATGACACAGATGTTGGTGAGGGTACAGGATTTCAGATGCAACTATGCTTTCCGGAAACATGGCCAGAAGTCTGCTTCTGAGGGTATGCTTGTGGGCTTCCTGTTTCCGCCTTGCTTTGCTCTCTTTGCAGTAGGTTGAAGTTAAGCTACTTTAGGATAATGAGCATTGAATATTGATTGGGTTTTTTCTACTATGTCTCCTTTGGATCTCACTGTTTATCAGAGTGTGGTTATGTTTTACAAAGCAGTTTTGTTTCTTTTTGCACCTTCTGGTGGAAAGTGCCTTGAGATAAATGAAACGAGAATATTCTTGTTCTCTGTTCCAACATCAAGTTGTGCAAGGAATGATCTCCGTTTGGAACTTTCTGAAACATGGGGATTATTGCAGAGTAAAATGGGGATTGATGTGTTTTGCCACTTGGATGATGATTTCCAGGTTCTAGAAAACACAAATTTGCTTCGGGGGTGATGTTTGGGACTCAGGTCCCATGGTGTACGTGATTGAAAACTGGTGGCTGTGGTGAGGCCTGTGGACCTGAGGTGGGCAGTGCGATGTCTTTATTTTTTTTCTTTCTCTATGTTACAAATTTTGGATCAGGGGAACCAGGTTCCAGAAAGAGATGTTTTGTGATAAAGACAATGACTTCAGGAGACGAGCAGGAGCCCGTTCTGGGTTGTTGCTGTCCCATCTCAATGAACAGAAGATCAAATTCAAGGTGTCAGGGGAGCACAGTGGCCCCTCTACACCTCTGCAGTATACAACACTGAGCTGTGCATGGTGAGCATCACGCCCAGAGCAGTCTACTCACAGCCTTCACTTGATGCTTTGTGGACTTGTTTGTTCTCACACGGTGCGTATCATTTCTGACAACGGGTTCACTTCTTTCAGGAACATGTATTGCCTTTTCAGAAGCTTGGTAAGTTGCATTGTCAGCAGTAGCTGTGTAAAGTATATAAACCCCTCAGCGTGCTAGAGTACTAATGTGCACACTTCATTGTGATTCTTGGTCCCGGGGTTTGTGCCCCAGGTCCATATCTTCTGAGAAGTACAGAATGGTGGCTTCTGCCTACTGTGAACTGGATAGTAAACATTTTCATGTTTTTCCCAGAACAGTTGTCTGAAGGCTTTTTTCCCCCCTTTCCCTAAAGACACCAATAAGAGCAAAGAAGTTCTAAGCATTTTTTAATTGCATTAGACTTTTAGAGTAGGATGAAGCTGGTTTCATCTTGCTGCACTTTGGTTTTGATCTGTTTCCACACCAGATGTTTGTTAGAAGGAAGCTTCCAATATCAAAAATGGAAGGACTGTGTCAGGCATGGTGGCACATGTCTTTAATCCCAGCGCCTGGGAGGCAGAGGTAGAAGGAGCCTTGTGAGTTCAGGGCTTCCCTGGCCTATATAGTGAGTTCCAGGCCAGGCAAGACCGCAGACTGAGAACCTGTCACAAAAGAAAAAAGGGGGCTGGAGAGACGGCTCAGCAGTTAAGAGCACTGCTTACTCTTGCAGAGGACCTGGGTTCGATTCCCAGCACCCACATGACAGCTAATGACCATCCAAAACTCCAGTTCCGGGGGATCTGATGCCCTCTTGACCTCGGGCATTGCACCATATGGGTGCCCCTGCCTACTCATACATATAAAATAAGTTTTAAAAAAAATTTATTTTTTAAATGAAAGAAAAGAAAACCTGGAAGGACTACTTACTGTACCAGAGCACAGCTCTGTCCGCTGCAGCATCCCTGAACCCTGGGATGCGGAGCCTGCTGGTGTTTCTTTGTGCAGTAGCTCCAAGGCTGTAGTTCCCATGCTATTTGCACTGTGGACTTAAGGGAGAGGAAGCCGCCAAGGGTACCAAGCAGAGCACACTCGGCAGTGGCATCCTGCATGACAGTGCCATGGTGTGACACACTTGACCACAGCTCACAGTTCCCTCAAGCTCCCTGAAAACAGCTTAAGTTTCAGTGGCAGGGATTGCTGGAATGTTTGAATGTGGACTCTTGCACTTTAGTCTGAAGGCTTTGGGGGACCACCAGTGTCTCTTGAATGCTCTGACTCAATTTCGGAATGCTATCCTGACACCATTTTTTACTTACATAGAAGAATACAGAATTTGAGTGGCCCTTGGTATCACTCCCAGTAACACTGTCTGACACAGGTCTGTGTTCGATGGGTGAATTGTCCTGAGGCAGTCTGCTTTTTCTGGAAGCTAGGAATAATTCTAACAGTAAGGAGGCCTGGGCAGCATTGACCTGGGAGTTAAGTGAATGGTGAAGAGTAGGGCAGGGGTGTGTTCCTGCAGGGTAGGTGTGGGCGTGTGACAGTATGGTACTCTGGCGCACCTGCAGCTCATCCATGTAACCTAGATGAAGCCAGGCTAAGGGCCAAGTTCGACCCTAACACAGAAGAAAACCTATCTGGTGGGGCTGTAGAACTGTTCTCACCCCACTATGACCAAAGGACATACCTGCTGGATGCTCCTTGCATGTGACTCTAAGGGAATGAGGGAACACCTTCTCAGATGCAGGTGCTGATGAAAGGCCTGCCTGGCCTCTGAAAACTTGAAGGAAACCTTGGGGCTTCAGGAGGACGGCTGCTAGAGTACAGTTGCTTACTGTATTGTATGTCCATTTCCTGAGGCTTCTGCCATGACATGTGTGGCTGCCAGTGTCTTAAGGCTAGACCTCCAGTGCCTGTCAGACAGTCACTACACTTATTTCCCCCTTTCTACAGGCACATCCACAAGAATCATTCTGCCTTCCTGTAGATCAGGTGTCTGGCAGTTGTGATCCCTTCCCACCTGGCTTTTGTGAGTCAGGCCCACCTGTCACCTAGGACTCTGTCATGGAGGTTGAGGGAGAAGAGGAAGTGGTGGTCACAGTCAGAGCTGAAAAGACTGTTGACCACACTGACCCAGGATCCATGTTTGGTGACACACTGATCAACTAGTCCTGACTCTTGAGTACTCTGGTTAGATTCCCCCCCCCCCCCCCCCCCCCCCCCTGCCCCCTGAGACAGGTTATCACTATGTAATTTCAGCTAGCCTAGAACTCTATGTAGCCTTGAACTCACAGAGCTCTGTCTGCCTCCCAAGTGCTGGGATTAAAGGATGTGCCACTGTGCCTGGCCCCATAAGAATTCTTGATCAGTGGTGTTTATGAGGTTTAGCCGAAGGCGTTAGAACTTCAAAAAGAATGAGCTGCCCCAGAGTCCTAGGGACACTGAAAACAACTGGCCAGACAGGCTCCTAAGGTCCTCAGGGAATATTGTGCTTCTAGTAGAATCCAGCCTGGCTGTTTGTCCCCTCTTCTCTACCAAGTGCACATTCAGTCCAGAGGATGGATGCAAATTATTCAGTACTGAAACCCTTTTTTCTTTCTTTTTTCAGACAAGGTCTCACTTTGTAGCCCAGTCTGGCCATAAACTCACAGTCCTGCAGCCTCTTGAGTGCCGGGGTAACAGACATACAGTACCACATCTAGCTCCTGAAATCTTAGTTCTTAGAGTTGCTTGTCAGAAACAATGGGGTAAAATCCAATTTTTTTCAGTTTGATATATTTGGACTTTTCATCTTTAGAACTGTACATGTTGGACTACAGCGGAGGCAGGGGCCAAGTGGAGTCTTGGAGACTCAGGCCCAGGATAGAAGTCTGCGGGTTCCATTTACTCAGGAGCACAATCACCTGCACCCACACTTCCTCATTTCTTGGTGGGATGACCAGGGGCTGAGGAGGCCGGGGTGACACTATAAGCGAGGTATGAGTCAGGGAGTGCCTCCCAGTGGCACACTTGGAATAACAAGACACAGGGACAGAATCACTGGAAGGTGGAACCACAGGCTCCAGAGAAGTCTGCACCTTGTGCCGAGACCAGGCTGTGACAACTGTCACACAGGTCACCTTCCTCCAAAGGCTCAGGTGTTACCTGTCTGCTGTGGTCTCCACATCCAACTCCAAAGATGGTTTTGTCAGCTGGGTATGGGGCAGTTCACAGAATCAACAAGCCTAAATAATATCCACCCCAGTCACTGCCAGTAGCTGATACTGCTTACTTCCCAGCCAGATGTGACCTGTCAGCTTGGCTGTACCCACAGCTGCTTTAGTGAATGTGGGGCCCAGGGAGGTGTGCCAGTGCCCCAGTCCCCATCAACAGCCTAAGCACTCAGACCTCTTGCTCCAGGGCTTGATTGATGCTGGGGCTTTCCTCTTCCTGCTTCCATCCTTAACCACTGTGCACAGGGTGTGGCGGTACGAAGGGCCTTTCCCCAGACACTGGTATTGTAAAGTCTCCCACTCAACTTTGACTGCATTTCCTCTTCCCTGTCAGCTCTGGTCATTGGGTATCCACATTTGCTGTTCAGGCTCTGGCTTGAGGTATATGTAAGTCAGTGAACCTTACTGGGTATCTGATATGGATGGACCTTGCTTTTAGGTCCTGATTTTAGCTCCCAGTGCTGGGGATTGAACCCAGGGCCTCAAACATGCTAAGAATGTGCTCTACTACCTGGTCCTACTTTTTTTTTTTTTTTTTTGGTCTTTTTTGAGACATGGTCTCCCAATAGCCCCAGCTGGCCTAGAACTTACTATGTAGACCAGATTGGCCTCAAACTCACAGAGATCTGCCTGTCTGCCTCCCAAGTGCTGGGATTAAAGGTGTTGTACCACCATGCCTGACCATTGGTCCTGGTTCTACTATTCAAGGAATGTGTATGGAAATAGAGCAAATGCTCCATGGTGGCTGGGCTCTTGTAGAGATGAAGGGAAAGGGGATTCTGAGTGCTGTGAGGAAACTTTTGATTTTGTTTAGTTTGGTGATTCCCCCCCCCCCACAGGAGCTCCCTGTAGCCCAGCTGGTATGAACCCCTAATGTAGACCAGGCTGGCCTTGATTTCAGGAAGATCTCTTGACTTGCCTCTGCCTCCCCAGTGCTGGATTTAAAGGCATGCATCACAAAGTCTGGCTGTTAGAAGCCTTTGGTGGGTGTGTCTTCAATTGACCTCCTTCAGCGGTGAGAAGGGATTTATTTAGGCTAGCGGGAGTGGAGGAGGGGTGAGGGTGGGTGAGGAGCGTTCCCCTGCAGTCTCCCGGTGAGATGTGGTTGGGCCCTAGCCCAGAGCCTTGTCTTTGGTCAGTGCTCAGAACACTTTTGCCCAGGATTCTGAGCTAGTGACCACCTACCTTTACTGCTCCCTCACCAGCCCAGCTCTCCTCCAGAAGATCCATTTTAAAAATCCTCTGCCTTGAAGTGTTACTGTCTACACTAGGATGGATCCCAAATTTTCACTAGATCCAGACACAGCCCTGTGGGCACCTTCATCACTATCCCCCCACAGCTCATAGAAAGGAACAGACAGACACACAGACACGGACACATACACACACACACACACACACCATATTGCTACTCTTTCCAGATCTGACTGGTCTGGGGCTGCTATTCCCCTGGGCAGCCCCTACTAGTCCGGAAGTCCTAGCACCAAGCCTCAGGGGCTACAAGCCGGGAGGTCCCCGGCCCTGCCTCCTGGGGACACCAGTAGGGCGGGGCTTGATTCCGGGGGCAACACGTCCTGGGAGAGCCAGACGGAAGCACTGGAACTGACACGTGGACTTGGGCGGTGCTGCCCTGTGGGTTGGCCTAGGCTGGAGGTGGGAGGGCACGGCACTGGGACACAACGGTGCCCATGCCGTCTCAGCGCCTCATCCCGATGCAGCCACCCCAAGATGAGGCCCACAGGGCCCCATCTGCAGCAGCAGAGGATGCCCAATGGTCCAGGTGAATGGGGCATGAGTGGGGTGGGGGAAGGGAGGAAGCTTAAATGCTGCCTCTCAGGACCTAGGCTCACGGAGCACTGGACTCTAGAAGTTGCTTCTCAGTCTTTCTGCAACCTGCCACCTTCCTCCCTGGGCAGCCCTAACCCCCAAGAAGGACACAGGAGGCCTGGTGGGAGCACTGGTACTGGACAGATTCCTACCACCTAGGGACCGACACAAGCAGCCTGGGCAGTCAGGACCTCAACTCATGACCTCTGAGGAGGAAACCAGCAGTCACCTATGCCTGTTCATATTTCATTTCTACTCTACCTACTGCTCCCAGGCAGGTGGCTCCACAGAAAACAGGATAAAGAAGGTGGCAGCTGGCCATGGAACAGCTGTGAGAAGGTACAGATGGGACCCCCAAAGAGGAGACCCAGACTACAGAAGAGCCACCACTCTGTTCTGTGGGCTGAGACCCCCAGGCTAAGGTGCTGGACCCAGGACTGAGTCAAGCCCTATAGAATCCACTGGACTCCTACCCCATTCTCCCAGTTGCCTAGGGCAAGAGCCCATGCATCTGTTAGGAGGAGTTGTAAGAAGGACCTGGGGCAGTAACACTGCTGGACCTGGGCCAGATGAAGCCACAGCCAGAGGTCATGGAGAGGCACAGAGCCAGAGCCAGATCACAGCCCTGCCAGTGCCAATTAGAAGGGGAGGGCCAGCCTTGGTGTGCCTGCCCTTGCTCTCTTGCTCTGGGTACCTCCCTCCCTACCCCATGTTTATCCTGATACCTCTGAGGTACTACTAGCTAGGACTTGTAGAACTGTTAACTGTTCTGCCAGCTTTGCTACAGGTTACAATATAATGGCACTGTCTGGCCCTTGTCCCTCATTGCTCTTCTGTGCCCTCCATGCTACTTGCTGTAGTCCTTGGCAGCAGTGGCAGCTGAGAATTCTGGGGGGTAGGAGCTGGGATTGCAGAGTCATGGCCAGTCACAATTCATGTGTGGGTAATAATAACAGCAGTAAGTTCTCTGTTGACCCACTGCCTCCTCCAGCTCTCTTTGTGGCTTGGGAAGCAACTCTTCGGTAAATCTGAGGGTATGGGGAGGTTGGTCGGCCCAGAGTTAGGGAGACATGTTACTGGAGCATTCATACTCGGGACTCTGGTCTCCTAGCCACTGGCACCAGCACATTTCCCTTTTCTGGCCCAAGGGCCACGTGATCACTTGTTAGCTCAGCTCCAGATGCCCTCCACAGGCCATCTGCAGGAAGCCAAGGTTTCAGAAGGCTTGGAGGAAGCGTCCTGGCATGTTGAGAGTGCCAAAAAGTTCAGGCACAAAGTGGGCAGGGTGGAGCTTTTCAGGCAGTCCTATACCAATGAGATGAGGACTCTTGGGTCTGGGGTCCTAGCTAGTCCTTGGGCAGCTGGTCTGGTTAGGCTCCCTCCAGGAGAACTTCCGTTGGAGGTGTAGCTTCATCAGTCTGCTACCATCCGCCCAGCTCAGGGACAGGGCCCAGTTCCTGCCTCCAAGGTACAGGGAGGAAGCAGAGTATCTTACTCTTCCCTCTACAGCCCATTCTGGGGGGGCACTGGTTGTCTGGAAGCTCATGAGCTTTTCCTGACCTCCTGTGGCCACCAAGAGGCTAGGAACAACCTCTACATGAGTCCATCTAGCTTCCTGTTTCTAACTGATCCCTAGACTGCAATAAGACTGGGCAATTATAAGTGCACTATGGGAGGGTGGCATGCTGGGTGGGTCCCTCTTGAACACAGGTGACCCTCTGCTGCCTTGACTACATAAAGGAATAAAGTTCCTTTGTTGTTGTTATTGTTGTTGTTGGCTTTTTGAGACAGAGTCTGCCTGGAACTTGCTATGTAGCCCAGGCTGGCCTCAGTCTCACAGAGATCCACCTGTCTCTCCTGAGTGCTGGGATTATCGGATTAAAGGCATGCACTACCACACCCAGCCTATAAAGTTCCCTTTTAAAGTTACCTTTAGACTGGCTTTTAGGGTCCAGTCAGTAGAAAAAACCGATCTGTTCTACATATAAAGGCCTCACCTAGGGTGGATGCTGCAGGTGGGGCAGTGCTGCAGGCCAGGTAGGACGCCCCTAGGGGCGGCTTGAACTGTCACCTCGTGCTCCCAGTAACCTAGTGGCAATGTTTGCTTCGGACAATTTACTGACGGGATGGATGTCAAGTGCAGGGTGCACTGTGTGCAGCCCTCACTGGGCAGAATTCTGTTAAGTACAAGAATAGACCCCTGAAGAGGTACCCCCCAAGGGTCCCATGTCCCAGATTCCAACTGGAGGGGAAGACCCAGAACCCCAGAGCCTAGTGACCTGAGAAATAACCAGGCCAGACTTTGCCATGTACAGTGGCACCAAATGATTTATTTTTATTTTATGTGTATGAATGTTTTGCCTGCATGTATATAAGTGTACCTGTGTTGTGCAATGCCAGTGGAGACCAGGGGAGGGTTTGGGACCCCCTGGAACTGGAGTTAAGGACTGTTGTTAGCTGCCATGTGGTTGCTAGAAACTGAACCTTGGTCTTCTGTAAGAGTAGCCAGTGCCTCTTAACTGCTGAGCCATCTCTCCAGTCCCCATCAGAGCCTTACTTGGACCAATCACTGGCAGTTTCTTGACTGTAGACCTCAGAGCCACTGAATCCACGTGGCGTCTTGCAGGCTGGGGATCCCCTCCCACCTACTAGCCTACTCATGCCTTGTCAGCTTAGACTGTGTAAAAACATAGTGCCTGGGGGCCCAAGCCTGAGCATGGCTGTGAACTGACTCTTCCCAGTGACCCCCAGCACAGCTGTACCATCCTTAAGCAGGGTAAACTTGCCGTCCTCCCCAGGGCCAAGGGTTCCCAGAGACCTCAGCCCTTCTTGGATCTGCTGAGGGGGTTCCTTCCTGTTTCTGAGGTTCAGAGGCTACTTGCCAGGCTCACATAGCAGGTACCAGATTGGCCACTGCCAGAATGGACCTCAGGGACCTCCAACCTCCCCTGGAAGGGCTGTAGCTAAGGGCTCTGGCTCTTCCAGAGCAATGATGGCCTCTGCCTGGGGTGGGCCCAGGGGGACCAGGGTACCTGCCCATGTGCCCTCAATCAACCTCATCCATTCTCCTCTGGCAGATGCCTGGCACCATAGTCTGGGAGCTGTTGTTGACCCCCAGAAACCCAGACATCTTTTGGGACATGCAAGGTGCAGTGCCCCAGGGGCTCACCTCACCTGCTGCCTGTCTCACTGTCTCCCCTGCTCTGTTCTGATAGCTGCCCCTGGAAGCCCATGGGCCTTTCCCTGATGGACACTCCAATCCACATTTTTTGATCCCTGGCTTTCAGCTCAAGGTTTCCTCACTACAGAGTCCTGCCATTTTTTTCTGACTTTGCTGCTCCCCTGGGCTGTCCATCCTGCACCCTGACCCTCACCTTTGACCCTGCTCCTGTTTGCCTGTGACTGTCCAGCACTCCCCCATGGAGTTCTAGACCCAGCCCAGTTGCAGCCCTGGGTCCCGCAGGCCTGGTGTGCTAACTGGGTTCCTGCTGGGTTGTCTCTTCCATACTCTGTGGCTGTGTAGAGGGGCCAGCATGTAACTAGCCTGGCTTCCATCCCAACCCCAGAGGACCTGTGTCCAGTACTGCTACCCTCCTGCCTGTCCCCTCCCAAAGGAGATATCCTCCCTCATATGTACCCCTTCCTCTGGCTCAGACTTTTATTGGGCACACACCTCCCCAGATGCTCCCCCTCCACTTGCCATTGTTACCTAATGCATGACTGTGTTCAAATCCCTTTTATATTTTAAAAACCTAAACTATGGGTTTCAGAATCATGGTGATCATTGTACACAGAATTCCCAAACGGCCCAACCCACATCCCCCATTGCTGTCCTGGGTGGGTGGTATGCTCCTGATCTGTGAGTCGGTGTGGACATCCTGGTGGCCTGGCCAGTGCTCTGTAGAGCATCCCTATGGATGTTTGTTGTGGGGGTGTCTTTAGGAAGAGGGTCTCAGGAACTAGGGCCCTTCTCCACTGCTCTGTTGTGAATAAGGCTGGGTTTGCCTGCCACGCACAATGCCAGTCACTGAAACAATATGCTTTGCAAGGGAGAATTTCCTCACTAGGTGACCAAACAGAGACAGGAAAGCAAGTCTCAGATCCACCTCCCACTGGAGACATGGATCAGTGGGTGAGGACTTGCTTAGCATCTGTGAGGCCTTAGGTTCGATTCCCAACTCTGGAGGAAAAAAAAAGGAATAAAATCTACCTCCCAGAACAGGGCTAGGGCTAGGGTAAAGCTGTTAAAGTAACACCTTTAAAGTAAAGGCCGAGGTGAGGGAGCTTAGGAAGCAGCCAGTGGACTACACATGTGTGATCAAATTCACTAGCTTACCACATAGACCTGCACATCTGTCATCACTTCTCCTTCTAATATTGCCAATGTTTGGTCCAACATAGTGGCACACACCTTTACTCTCAGCACTTGGGAGGCAGAGGCAGATGGATTTCTGTGAGTTCCAGGCTGGACAGGGCTACAATTTTTATTTTAAAATTGGTGGCGCACGGCTTTAATCCCAGCACTTGGGAGGCAGAGGCAGGCAGATCTCTGTGAGTTCAAGGCCAGCTGGGGCTACAGGGAGACCCTGTCTCAAAAAGAACCCCCCCAAAAAAAAGAAATTAAAAACTAAAATAAAATTGCTAGTATCTAAATTCACTGAAGAGTAAAGAATCAGGGCTGGTGAGGCTGGTCAAATCTGGAGGGTGTTCCTTTCCTCTTTCACTGTTAGATCCCTACTGTCAGCAAGACCCTGGGTAGATGTTAATTTAAGACTTGAACTTTTAAGAAACAAGCAAGAAGCTGGGTGTGGTAGCACAAGCCTTTAATCCCAGCACCCAGAAAGCTGAGGCAGGAGGATTACTTTGAGTTCAAGTTGGGTCTGAGTTACAGAGTAGGGCACTGGAGAGACACCTAGGGAGGGAGGGAGGGAGGGAGGGAGAGAGAGAGAGAGAGAGAGAGAGACTTATGGGTGTGGCTTTTATTCCAAGGGCAGCAGGAAGCCATTATACATTTTGAGCAGAGCTAAGCTCACCAGTCACAGTGTGGTGTGGCCTTGAGCATTGGTCTCAGAGCTCTACTCAGGAATTTCAAGCCTGGCCTCCATGACTGAGCCACAGACCTCACCTCTCTCTGCATTTGTAGGCCTAGAAGCTTTCCTGGTGGATCTTCTGCTCCCTGAGCCCTGCCTCCTTTGGGTCCCCCTGTCCAGCATACTGCCCTGGAGGTTGTTAGCTGTGTTTAACCTGCTTGCCTTCCTGGGCCCCCATGGTCCATAAGAAATTTGAGAATGTGTCTGGTTCTCAGCTGGACCCAGAGTATAGTCCTGGCACCCATCAGCATTGGTCCAGGCTCTGAGACTTGTGAACATGCTATCATTTACTTAACCTGCCCCCAACCTGCTGGTTCTTGTGCTGTGCCCAGCCTATGTGTAGTATCCGCAGATCGTTGCATGTAAAAGCCTGACGAAATCCAAGCCAAAGAGGTTATCTTAAGTCCCACCCTTCCTGTATGCATGGCCACATTCTCTAGCCCTTGGGAAGGTCTCTAGGGATCAAGGCTGTCTGTGGCACCTCCGGGTGCTAACCCACTCCTTCTGTCGCACAGACCTGAGTCCCAGGCCTGGACGGGGATGCTACTGCTCGGCACCTGCCTACTGTACTGCGCTCGTGTCACTATGCCTGTCTGCACTGTCGCCATGAGTCAGGACTTTGGCTGGAACAAGAAGGAGGCTGGTGTCCTGCTCAGCAGCTTCTTCTGGGGCTACTGCATGACACAGGTGGTGGGCGGCCACCTCGGGGATCGGTAACCAGACCCTTCTCATTGCTCAGGAGTGAGGGAGCCTGGGGGCCTTCAGAGGGGCAGTGCATCAGGCCTGCCCTTGCGCGTGGGGAAGGAGGGGCCAGCGGAGGAGGAGTTCAACAAATATTTAGGGAGAGGTCCTGGCTTTGGGAGAGGAGAGGCCAGGCCTGGCAGCCCTGGGTCAGTAGGGAGACGTGGGGTGAGCAGCAAGCAGAGAAACATGGAGCAGACAGGCCAGACTCAGCCGTGCACGCCGCACTCAGCCCTGGGCCCCTCCTCGGAAGGATGGGTCATTGTGGATCGCACTGCTGGACTCTCCACAGGGTGGTGCCCCTCAGCCCACGTGCATAGCCATCCTGTTCTCTCCCTGTGTTCTCTCCAGCATTGGGGGTGAGAAGGTCATTCTGCTGTCAGCCTCCACCTGGGGCTTCATCACGGTTGCCACGCCGCTGCTCGCCCACCTTGGCCGTGCCCATTTGGCCTTCATGACCGTCTCTCGAATTCTCATAGGTCTGCTCCAAGGTAAGAGCTACCACCGGTTGCCTCCTTCTGGTGTTGGCATTCAGTTCTGCCACCAGGCAGGGAGGAGAGAGGATCCTGTGTATCTGAGGGCCTACGTAAAGTCTGTTTATACAGTTAGGGTGACTGAGTAACAACCTATGACTGTTCATGCAGAGCAGGGATGAGGGGCGCTTCGCCATATTCATGTTATCAGTGGGCAGAGGGGGGTGCTGGGTTCCCCAACCTTGTGACTCTCTTCCACAAGGGGGCTCGGGGGGTTGACCTCTGGAGAAGTCCCGGGCCCCAGGGCAGGGAGCTGATGGTGGCTTTCAAGGAACCAGACTTGTGTTCTGAGGAGCCCTGTTCATTGATGTGGTGATTAAATGTCCCAGAAGAGAAGAAGGCGGATGATTCCTATGTCAACATCATGGGTGATACCAACACAGAATGCACACTCGGTACCTTGTGGACACAGACCGTAGGTTCCTATTGTCATAGTCCTGAGAGGACCAGTCACGGAGCCCTTCCAGGCTAGGGTTCTAGAACCTTCTAGAATGGAAAGGATATTGGGTTGTTTCCAGACTTTTAAGCTGCCAGGGAGCCCACTGCCCAAAGAAAATCCTGGTTCTATGTGTAAGAAGGCAGGTAGAGAGAGAGAGGTACTTTCCTGGAAGGGTGCAGGTGTGAACAAAGTACATACATGTGAGGTACATGAGCACGCTAGAGCACTATTGAGAAGCTGATAGGTGGTCTGTATGTACACATGCTTGCAAGCACATGGGAGCAGGCCGGAATGCCTGGGGGCAGAAGTGTCTTGCTTGGAAGCAAAGGGCTCTCTAATACATGTTTTGTGCCACTTTTTTGTGACTCTCACCCCAAATTAGTCTGTTTCCTTAGCCAATTATTGCCAAAAGCAGTCACCAGTGAGGTGTGAAGGAGACACAGACACGCTCTGGATTCACAGCCCTAACCTGAGTGACCTGGCCCTCACCTCACAGGCCATCACTGGGACCCCTGGTAACCTCATTCCCTGCTTGTTTTAGGCGTCTACTTCCCGGCCCTGACCAGTCTGCTGTCTCAGAGAGTTCGAGAGAGTGAGAGAGCCTTCACCTACAGTACTGTGGGGGCCGGCTCCCAGATTGGGTAAGACCTAGTCTCCCAGGGATTCAGGAAACTGTCACATTAACCCCTGAGGGGATGTCCTGTAGGTCCAGAAGTGGTAGCTGGTCTGGAGGTCCTCTGAGGACTCTGCTGGACAACACTGGGCTCCAAGGGCTGGTTGGTGCTTCCCAGGCCTGTGAGGAGTGCTGCTTTTATGCAAGTGTGTTAGTTACTTTTGCCGCTGTGACAAAAGACCTGACAAGAAGTAGATTAAGGAAAGAAGGATTTATTTTAGTTCACAGTCCTGGGGTACAATCCACTGTGGCAGCAGGAGTATGAGACAGTTGGTCACAGTGCGTCAGCATCCAGGAAGCTGAGAGAGATGAATGCTGACACTCAGCTTACTTTATTCCTTTTTTGGAGACAAAGTCTCACTGTGTAGCCCTGGCTGACCTGGAACTCACAGCTGGGACTAAAGGAGTGCACTATCACACCTAGCTCATTTTCTCCTTTTTCATTGAGGACTCCAGCCTGTAGGATGGTGCTGCCTACACTCAAAGTGGTTCTATGCCCTCTCCCCTCAGTTAAATCCATGGACACACTCAGAGTTGTGTAGACACTAGTGTCTGTCACTGGGTAGAAGGGGTACTAGTTTGCATAGCAGGTGGATTCCTGGGGGGCCAACAGAGACTTCCTGACACTGACTCAGGCCCTGGGTTCACTGTTGCTGAGTGGAAAGAATGGGGGAGGGGAGGAGGGCACCTGTGGGTGGGGCCAGGTCAGTCCTGCAGGCTAGGGTGCCAAATTTAGCAATGAGAACAGCACATTCAGTGAAGTGTGAATGTCAGGTAAACCACTATGCTCAGTCTGCAGAAGGGCCCCTTCCTCATCTTCATCCCCAGTTCTGCTGTCCTGCACAGCAGAGAGGGATCTGTGCATGGCCCAGAGGGGTAGGATGTGGCCCAAGGGTGGGCTCCTCTCCCAGGTGATGTGCCTGGGACACGGGAGGAAGCACAGCTGGAGGAAGGCAGTTCAGCATTCCAGAGCCTGTGTTCTTTCTTTCTTTCTCTTTCTTGCTTGGATGAGTGCACAGGGTGGTAGGTGGAGGCTGAGGAACCTGTATTACATCTGGGACAGTATGACCCTGGGGATAAGGGGAGGGACGTGTGGAGCTTGGTGTTGGTGGTCATGTTTTGTTTGGTTGGTTTTTTTGGTTTGTTTTCTTTCTTTCCTCCCCCTCCCCCTCCCC